GATCAGGCTTCGTAGGGCTCAGGGACCTCAGGAAAACTAAGGTGGAAAAATGCTCAAACTCGCCAGTCACCCCCAAAGGGAAAGTAAAGCCACAGATCACAGTGATAACAAGACTTCTTGAATTTCCGTTCAGATACAAGTTCAATACAACAAATATCCCCTCGGCTGTGCCTCGTGATGTAAATAATTCTGATTTCAGATTTTTTAAAGTACAGAGATGATGGTATTGCATGCATCAAATACCGATGATTTGATATTTCAAAGTAGCGCAAGTGCAAATGCCTACCAAGAATAGAGTGCATGAGTAAATCGTGGTGTATTCTTTTTTTTTTAATTTAAAAAAAAAAAATTTTTTTTTTTAAAGATTTTATTTATTTATCTGAGAGAGAGAATGGGAGACAGAGAGCATGAGAGGGGGAGGATCAGAGGGAGAAGCAGACTCCCTGCTGAGCAGGGAGCCCGATGCGGGACTCGATCCCGGGACTCCAGGATCATGACCTGAGCTGAAGGCAGTTGCTTAACCAACTGAGCCACCCAGGCGCCCAATCGTGGTGTATTCTTACAGTCGAATACTATACAGTAGTGAAAACAAATGATCTACGATGTCACAGAGTACCATGGATAAACCTCACAAACTTAATTCTGAGCGAAAGATACCAGGCACAAGAGAGAATATTCTGTACGATTCCACTTATGTAAAGGACAAAAACCAGCAAAACTAACCTGTGTTGTTAGAAGTCAGGATGGTGGGTGGTGTGGTGCTGGTGGGGGGACAGCAAACAGGTACACAGGGGCTTCCGGGATGCTGCAAATACTTCTTTTCTTCATTTGTGTGCTGGTTTATTTTGTGAAAATTCATTGAGGTCTATATGTGTGACTTGGGCACCTTTAGGTGTATGTTATAGTTCAATTAAAAAAATGAAAAAATAGCACAGTAAAGCATTTGGGAATGCCAGCATATAAAAACCAGGACAATATGAAGGCTTCGACTCACAAGGTACCTTTTATGGCGAGCACCATCTAACGTCATTCTCCAAACAAGCAAGCTGAGGCTCGGACAGTTAGGCACTGGGCCACTGGACACAGGTAGGATTGAGCAGGGCAGGGATTCAGACCCAGATGTGGCTGCCTGCAGATCCTTAGGTGCATCCAGGGTAGCCCACACCTCCTCCAGGTTGTATGATGATTGCTACACTGTTAGACATCGAGATAGCCATTTGGGAAGCTGGCCATAGGCTGACTCTCTGGTGCAGGACTGTGAGGTCCATGAGGGCAGGTCAGGCTCCTTCATGCACTCATCATTTATTTATTGAGGGCCTATCATCTGAAAAGACAAAACTCCTTGGCCTCATGGAGTATTAAATAAGCATATTATATGTCAGAGCTTATAAGAACTAGTAGAAAATTAACTGGTAAGGAGGGGTCAGGACTTGGATTGGGGGTGGGGGTGCAACTTAAAAAAAGTCCTCACCCAGGAGATGAGATTTGGACAAAGACTTGAAGGACAAGAGAGTGAGAGCCATGTGGTGATTTGGAGAGAAACATTGTAGGCAAAGGAGACAGCGTGTGCAAAGGCCCTGTATTACTCAAGGACACTGAGAAGGTGCAGGTGGCTGGCTGGCCTGGTGGCTGAGGACAGGAAAGGGGGTGGGGTCTTGTTGGCCTGTTGGAAGGATTTTGGTTCTTGCTCTGAGCATGATGGGAGCCACTCCATGGGAGTGGGTTTGAGCAGAGGATTAACGTGATTGGGCTTAGTCACGGCTGTATCCCCAGCAACTAGCCCAGTGTCTGACCATGATGGGACATGGTGATTAAATCACTGATGTTATCTCCAAATGGGGTTGAACATTCATGCAGCAGAGACACTTGACAAGCTGCTCAACATACCACATTGAACTTGATTTCCATTTCTGGAAGACCCCCTCTGTTGGTGCATCTGACCCCTGTGGGGAGGGTCTGGAGGACTTCCTGGCAGAAGTGCCATCTAATCTGAGACTTGCATAAGGAGCTGGCAAGGTTTGCACTTGCTGTTCCCTCTGAACTCGCCCTTTGGGAGGCTGAAGGCAGCAAGGCCCACTTCAGGGATCATCGGCAGGTGGTAACCACCTGAGCAGAGAGTTTTCTGCCAGGGAAGGATTTGAAGAGGCCGACGAGGTGCTGGTTACTGGCTGGGGAGGTTCATGTCATCTTGTGGCCAACGGAATGACAACGGGGGCCGCAACACTGCAGAACAAGATCCACAGTTTTATCGACCAGAGGCGGAAAGGCGACGTCAAAAATCAACGGCAAGACTTGAACTTTTGGTTGAACTTGTATTAAGTCTCTCTCATTATTATCGATTAGATTTTGAAGGTGAGCAGGCAAGTGCAGCGAGTTGGAAAATGGAATCCTCTAATGACTCCTTTTATTGCTTTTTGTTGATCCTGAATATAAAACAAATAATCATAGATCACAGCCAGCTCCATGGCCCCCTTTCATGTGCAAATACAAACGTGAAGAAGCTCAAGGATTTTCACAAGTAGCATCAGCCTGACGGGACACTGCTGGAGCCGCGAGGTCCTATTTTATGCAGGTTTGAATCATGCAAATCCAAAATTGTGAATTAGATGCACGGCAGATGGAGCTCCCCTGGGGGCACCAAACGTGCAAGAGTGTGAACCCCACGAAATTAGAAATTCCCCAGGAGGCTTACGTCAGCCAGCGCGAGCCCATCTTCAGAGATGTCTTTCAGAGGATGTCAGGGTTTGGGGTTTTCTCTCCCTGAAGAACATGCAACCGCTCTGTAGTCCCAAGCTGGATACCTTGGAAATCAAAGCCCATTTGGCAAAAGAAAACATTTCAAAAAATTCAAATGGAAGATTGTAGCTGATCCCTTAACTGAATAGGGATCGTGTTCTTTTATGACAGAGTCCTTTCCATGCTGTTGAAATTGCCCCTTCAATAAAAAGGAATGAAATCATGTATGCAAGTGGTTAAAACAACCAGATAGGATTTATAAAGGAGAACGAGAGTCTTGCACACACCCCTCTCTGCCCCGGTCCTGCTCGCAGAGGCGACATGTCTCCATCTGGCCGAGCTTCTAGATGGTTCCGCCAGGATATTGCCGCTCTTGTCTCTGGAATCCGCTCCACTCCCTTGTGGAGGGATTTTTTTTTTTTTAATTTTTTAAATTTTTTAACAATGGAATTATTTA